TCCTGAAATACAGGGTAATGCATGTCTAATTCTTTATAATCGTTGTCACATTTCATAAAATGTAAATCTAAGTAATCTATAAATTGGCTGACAACTGTGGGAAAGAATTGATAGTAGTTTGGGATTCCGTTGCATCATGACTGCATTTGATTAAAATTCACTGTGGTACACGGCAGATTATCAATTTTCCTTTTATTGTTTACCAATAAAAGTGTGCCACTGGTATGCAAAGAAATGATTACTTCAATCAACTCATGATGAAATGCAGATTTTGTACATCTATGTAATTGATACGGCTCCTGTAGGGTAGTACAGCATCGGTTGCATCATTGGTGTAACTCTTGTATTGATGTATAAAGAAACTTTGATCAAGAAGAAGACCTAATTGCAGAAATTAATTTCATTACCGATCAAATTTTGATATTAAGTAAAGATCGCAATGCATAAGAAAAACCCACTTTAGTAAACATCTTGGTCATTCAGTGTATTGCTAGCCATAAAGCAAAGCACAGTATATTGTGCTGAAAAACTTAGATAATGGTGAGGTATGAATTATGACTATAAAATACAAACACGGCATGGCTGCATCTGTTCACTTACACATTCTTTTTCAGAGATCTAACTGCAGGGCCCATATTCATGAAAGCGTTATCATGCTCAAGTCCAATTTCTTGTGCCAGTGACATTGAGTATCATATTTTGTCAATGATATGCAAGATATTTTGAGAGACGTTAAGGTGAATACTGTTTTCAATGTTAACACTTGACTTTTTGACCGTGCTATGCCATTCAAGCAAATTACAAAAAAGTCAGCTTGAGCATGAGAATGGTTTCATGAATTACTACAGGCCCAGGGTCTGGTAGTTCAAACAAGTTAATGAAAAACTTTTGAAAGTTTTGAAATAAAAAAATTAGCATCCATAGTATCTATCAGTACTACGTACGGTATGATGCTTACGATACGATACATATCACGATACACATATCTGCTCTAAAAGGTCTACTTCATTATGAATGAGTTCAGGATTGTACAGAGTTTTGATATAGACGTAAATTGTTGAAACTTTCAAAAAAAAATAATATTATTAGTACTTTTGCACAGTGGGCCACATCTTTACTGAAGGATTCCAAAACATTATGTAAACTCTTACAGTTAAAAAAAAAAGATTGGTAATTTCAGTACCCTTAGTGTTTTGCAATACAGGCAAACAAAACAATGCCAAATGATACACCAGAAAGATAGATCGTTGCAGTCCTACCATACCTAAGAAAATTAGATTATACAAAAGGTATTTGTGAATTTTTAGATATTTTGCAAGATAATTATTTTTAAATTTTTGCAAATGATTTCATCAATCTAGTCAAACTTTAATAACGTGACCCACACGATAATTAACTGCTGATGTCTTGAGTTAAGGTTGACTAAACTTGTCTGCAGGACACCAATGTTATCAGCTGTAGACCTCTCTGACGGCCAGTGTAGAGCTTGGTAGGGAATTATGTGTCACTTCTATTTTATCATACTTACTGTTGTCAGTCGGGGCCATATTTTTTTCCGAAGAAAATCAAAAGTACACTGCATCTCAAATACAGAACGTCACACCATGTATTGATTGGATATTAGACAACTCTCAACTTTCATTTAGGCCCTAATTGATCAGTCTGGTGTCGTGTCTGGGGCTATTTAACCATGCACTCAAAGCTAGAGACAGTTTCCTTGTTGATACCATCAGGTGTAAGAACGGGGATTCAGACCCTGTGAATTGGCCTTCCCCGTGAGGAGCACTCTCAAATCATATAGCTGATGTCATCCTGTCTTAGTGGCAGACATCCTATAGTGATGTTGTTGCCCTTAGAAGGATACCTTATTTGGAATCAATTTTCTAAGTATTTCAACGGTAAAAAATATATCTTCCAATATTAACAAATAATATAATATTGTATGGTAATTTTTTTTTTATTTATTTTATCTCTGATACAAAAGTTGCAGTGTGAGGTAAAGCATTGCATCCAACGTCCATCCGTGTGTTAATATATTCCTTTCAATTATAAAGACTTCTTTTGCAGAACCTTAAGGCCTAGGGTCATGACATTTGTTTTGGCTTGCTGTTATTAAGAACTGTCAAGTTTGTTCAAAATCAATCCTTACCTAATGTCACAAAATTCAAATGTGTTGAAAACTTTTCAAGGAGTCGTATGCAATTCTGCAAAGCCTAGAGTCACGATGTTTGTCCTAGCTGGTACATGTATGTCATGTAACCCACCAGCTTAAAATGGCTTAACATTTTCAAAGAAACTTTGTAGGTGATTGTAACATGATTGACAATGTGTCATGTATTCCTATGTTTGCTTTACCTCAAGGCCAAGGGTAATGGCAGATGTCAAAGGTCGAAGGTCGAATCACTATGATGCTTCTCCAGGCAGTAACTTTTTCATTGACAAAACTTGACTGTTGGATATATCATGACTAGACATATACTGTGCTTCAAGGTCAAGGCCATTCGAGGGTCCGCCAAGCAATAAAACAAAATAAAAAATGATGGTTGTTGCTGATTATGTCACTCTGAATTGTACATTTAAGGTCAAGGTCACTCTATCATGACAAGATAGTGTGTCATGGCTTTGGACATGTATTGCTTTGCAATACTTTGATATGTTGTATTATAAATATCTTATGTCTCTCTGGCTTTGTTTGTCGTTAATATGTTATGTCGCTCTGGCTTTGTTTGTCGTTGATATATTATGTCTCTCTGGCTTTGTTTGTCTTTGATATGTTATGTCTCTCTGGGTTTGTTTGTCGTTAATATCTTCTGTCTCTCTAGCGTTGGTTGTCGTTAATATCTTATGTCTATCTGGCTTTGTTTGTCGTTAACATCCTATGTCTCTCTGGCTTTGTCTGTCGTTAATATGTTATGTTTCTCTGGCTTTGTTTGTCGTTTATATGTTATTTCTCTCTGGCTTTGTTTGTCGTCAATATGTTATGTCTCTCTGGCTTTGATTGTCGTTAATATCCTATGTCTCTCTGGCTTTGCTTGTCGTTAATATGTTATGTCTATCTAGCTTTGTTTGTCGTTTATATGTTATGTCTCTCTGGCTGTGTTTGGCGTTGATATGTTATGTCTCTCCGGCTTTGTTTGTCGTTAATATCCAATGTCTCTCTGGCTTTGTTTGTCTTTGATATGTTATGTCTCTCTGGCCTTGTTTGTCGTTGATATGTTATGTCTCTTTGGCTTTGTTTGTCGTTAATATTCTATGTCTCTCTGGCTTTGTTTTTCTTTGATATGTTATGTCTCTCTGGGTTTGTTTGTCGTTAATATCTTCTGTCTCTCTGGCTTTGTTTGTAGTTAATAGGTTGTGTCTCTCTGGCTTTGTTTGTAGTTAATAGGTTGTGTCTCTCTGGCTTTGTTTGTTGTTAATATGTTATGTCTCTCTGGCTTTGTGTGTCGTTGATATGTTATGTCTCTCCGGCTTTGTTTGTCGTTAATATCCTATGCCTCTCTGGCTTTGTTTGTCGTTGCTATGTTATGTCTCTCTGGCTGTGTTTGGCGTTGATATGTTATGTCTCTCCGGCTTTGTTTGTCGTTAATATCCAATGTCTCTCTGGCTTTGTTTGTTGTTAATATGTTATGTCGCTCTGGCTTTGTTTGTTGTTGATATGTTATGTCTCTCTGGCTTTGATTGTCGTTAATATGTTATGTCTATCTAGCTTTGTTTGTCGTTTATATGTTATGTCTCTCTGGCTTTGATTGTCGTTAATATGTTATGTCGCTCTGGCTTTGTTTGTTGTTGATATGTTATGTCTCTCTGGGTTTGTGTGTCGTTGATATGTTATGTCTCTTTGGCTTTGTTTGTCGTTGATATGTCATGTCTCTCTGGCTTTGTTTGTTGTTAATATCCTATGTCTCTCTGGCTTTGTTTTTCTTTGATATGTTATGTCTCTCTGGCTTTGATTGTCGTTAATATGTTATGTCTATCTAGCTTTGTTTGTCGTTTATATGTTATTTCTCTCTGGCTTTGTTTGTCGCATTTAAGGTCAAGGTCACTCTATCATGACAAGATAGTGTGTCATGGCTTTGGACATGTATTGCTTTGCAATACTTTGATATGTTGTATTATAAATATCTTATGTCTCTATGGCTTTGTTTGTCGTTAATATGTTTATGTCTCTCTGGCTTTGTTTGTCTTTGATATGTTATGTCTCTCTGGCTTCGTTTGTCGTTAATATGTTATGTCTATCTAGCTTTGTTTGTCGTTTATATGTTATGTCTCTCTGGCTTTGATTGTCGTTAATATCCTATGTCTCTCTGGCTTTGTTTTTCGTTAATATGTTATGTCTCTTTGGCTTTGTTTGTCGTTAATATCCTCTGTCTCTCTGGCTTTGTTTGTAGTTAATATGTTATGTCGCTCTGGCTTTGTTTGTCGTTGCTATGTTATGTCTCTCTGGCTGTGTTTGGCGTTGATATGTTATGTCTCTCCGGCTTTGTTTGTCGTTAATATGCTATGTCTCTCTGGCTTTGTTTTTCTTTGATATGTTATGTCTCTCTGGGTTTGTTTGTGGTTGATATGTTATGTCTCTCTGGGTTTGTTTGTCGTTAATATCTTCTGTCTCTCTGGCTTTGTTTGTCTTTGATATGTTATGTCTCTCTGGCTTTGTTTGTCGTTAATATGTTGAGTAATATTTGGCAGTTTAAGCTTTAAAGCCTTTGTCTCCTAATTGACACAGGTCAACTTGTCCCCTGGTGATAATTTACTTGGTATGCACAGGAACTCCATTTTGTGATGGAAGGTCTTAAAGTGATTGAATTGAGATTATTTATCTCAGGGTGGTCCTTGGTGAAATGATCGCCATTCTATTAAAAATGTATTTTTACAAGGGAATTGACCTTAGAATTGCAGAAAGAGTTGTAGTTTTGGCAGTCATCCCAGTGTAAATAAATAGGTCTTCTACTTTCTTAGTGCATGTAGTCAAGGTTGATATTTCATGTTATAATGTTTTGCAGGGAACCCGAAGGAATAGAAGAACAAAAGGAAGAAGAGAAATTCAAAAAGAACATTGAGGAGCTTTCAAAAAAGATGACTTCAGTATCAGGTATATTGGAATATTATCATACAACTATCCGTCATCCGTCCTTAAACAGTTTCTTCAAACAATTTCTTATCCATTGATTGGAATTTAACCAAATTTGGTTGACGCATCCCTAGGTGATGGGGATTCAAAATTGTGCAACACACCCCCCCCCCCCCCCCCCCCCCCCCCCCCCCCCCCATACATTAAAAAAAATCAATTTTGAAAGTACTTTTGTTGAGACCTTGCAGTTTGAATATCAGAATCATTTACAACCTGTTCCTGATATTATTGCAGCTTTCTTAATTAATGTGAATCACTTTTGCTTGCGTCTCATTTGGCGGTATATGTGTGATACTTCCATCCTTGATAAGTTGCCAGTGAAACATATTTCCCAATCAGATTTACATTGATATACAATGTCACACACGCATACACAGCTGAGCTATCATCATGGCTATGGGGGGATTTTGCTGGAGAGGTCAATATCACTTTCACTCTTTATCCACTGTCACATGATGTCAACTGTTAATGACATAAAAATAATAATTTCAGAGGTCAATTAAAGGTCTGTAAATATAAATGATTACAAGAAAATCCATTTGAATCCTCCTCAAGCTGTGTTTGAAGTTTTTGTTTTTAAAGTATCTGGGAAACTGAGTTTGAGCTTACACTGGGATTGGACTCCAAAGTGTTGGTGGTGATAATTTGTCTTGGTTTGCTTAGATTTTGAATGTCAAATATCGGTGAACAGAGTAATTGAAATTCTTATAAAATAAACAGAGAAATACTAAGTCACAATCACAAGCAATGTTACACAAACTATATAAGATGAACTGTAAAGATGTTAATGCACACATACATGGGATTTGTTTTTACTCTAGTGTATGACAGAGCCGCTCAATCCCCTGAAGAGGCCAAGTCAGCAAACAAGTCAGAACCTGAAGTTACAACACAGGCAACATCCACAAACGACAAAGATTCTGGTTCCGTGGGAGATGCCACACCCACAACATCAGAAACCAAACCTTCTGTGACAGAGACCACGCCCACGCCTTCTAAATCATCTGATACAATGGAAGATCAAGGAGCTGTAGGTGGCGCTGCATCTATGGCTGTGGGTGGATCATCTGTAGGAGGGGCTGGAACTCCCCTCAATGAAATGATGGGTGCTGTGGGCGGGGCTGATAATCTGTTACAAGCTCTCACTGTGGCACAAGCATTAGAAGACATGGTGGGTACTCAGTATTACTGTGGCACATGTTTAATTCTGTATCTAACATCACAGAGCAAAAATGATAAAGTACTGAAAGCTTCATACAAGTAACAATTTTAAATGTTAGATTTATATTTAAGATTGCTGACAAGGGACAGGAGAAAATTAAAATGACTATTCTAATCAGTATTTGAAACAACAAAATAATCAAATCGAAATTTGCATAGAAAAAAAATACCGTATCAGTTTGGGTATTAATTCTAAGAGGAAGATGAACCTCTTGCTATATTTTCCAGTATTCTATGACTATAATATTTCTGAAACTATTCTGCTATAAATAGTTGCTTCTAGAAAACATTATGAACAAATGTCACACCTTTTCTGATTTTCCCCATTTAATGAAATATTTTCTTTATTTTTTTTGTCAGATATTTGGTTTAGGGGAAAATACTTAAGTGATAATTTTATTTCAAAGGCTTTATTAAGTTACCTGACCATAGGTAATGGTAACCTATTGTGATAGTCTTTTGTCCGTCGTCTTCCATCGTGCGTCTTGCGTTAACTTTTCCTTGTGAACACGATTACTTGAGTAAATGTTAACCGAGTTTGATGAAACTTTGTATGCAGCCATATATCAATAAGATCCCGGACAGGTTGGAAAATGGGATTATTTGACAGTAACTTACAGAGATATTGCCCTTTGTAATAATATTATTATTGGACCTTGTGAACACGAGAACTTGAGTAAATGTTAACCGAGTTTGATGAAACTTATATGCAGCCATATATCAAAAAGATCTCGGACGAGTTTGAAAATGGGAATTATTCGACGATAACTTACAGAGTTATTGCCCTTTGTTATAATAATTTTATTGGATTTTGTGAACACGAGAACTTGAGTAAATATTAACCGAGTTTGATAAAACTTTGTATGCAGCCATATATCAATAAGATCCCGGACAGGTTGGAAAATGGGATTTTTTGACAGTAACTTACAGAGATATTGCCCTAACTGTAATAATATTATTATTGGACCTTGTGAACACGAGAACTTGAGTAAATGTTAACCGAGTTTGATGAAACTTTGTATGCAGCCATATATCAATAAGATCCTGGATGAGATCGAAAATGGTAATTCGACGATAACTTACAGAGTTATTGCCCTTTATTGTAATATTATTATTGGACCTTGTGAACAGGAGAACTTGAGTAAATGTTAACCTAGTTTGATGAAACTTTGTATGCAGCCATATATCAAAAAGGACTCATACGAGTTCGAAAATGGGAAATATTCGATAGTAACTTACAGAGTTATTGCCCTTTGTAATATTATTATTATTGGACCTTGTGAACACGAGAACTTGAGTAAATGTTAACCAAGTTTGATGAAACTTTGTATGCAGCCATATATTAATAAAATCCCGGACGATTACAAAAATGGGAATTATTCGACAGTAATTTACAGAGTTATTGCCCTTTGTAATAATATTATTATTGGACCTTGTAAACACGATAACTTGAATAAATGTTGATGGAGTTCAATGAAATTTTGTCCGGTAATTATTTGACGGTAACCTGCAAAGTTATGCCCTTTGTCATTATTAGCTCACCTGGCACGAAGTGCAAAGTGAGCTTATGCCATGGAGCGGCGTCCGTCGTCCGTCTGTCGCCCGGCGTCCGGCATCAATATTTTACTTTAAACGACTTCTTCTTAATAACCAAAAGGCCTAGGGTGATGATATTTGGCCAGAAGCAAACTGGGATGAAGGGCTACAAAGTTTGTTAAAATTAATGACCTTCACCCATTTTCAAGGTCACAGGGGTCAAATATGTTAAAAACTTTAAACATCTTCTTCTCGATAACCAAACTGTCCAGGGAGGTGTTATTTGGACATTAGCATGCTTGGGTGAAGGGCTACCAAGTTTGTTCAAATAAATGACCTTCAATTATATTCAAGGTTACAGGGGTCAATTGTCTTAAAAAAACTTTAAACAACTTCTTCTGAATAACCAAAATGCCCAGGGTAGTGATATTTGGCCAGTAGCATGCTGAGATGAAGGGCTACAAAGTTTGTTCAAATGAATGACCTTCACCCATATTCAAGGTCATAGGGGTCAAATATGTTAAAAACTTCAAACAACTTCTTCTGAATAAACAGAAATGCCCAGGGTGATGATATTTAGTCAGTAGCATACTAGGATCAAGGGCTACCAAGTTTGTTTAAATGTATGACCTTGAATCATATTCAAGGTCACAAGGAGCAAATACGTTCAAAATATAAAAAAAAAAAAACAACAACTGAATAACCAAAAGGCTCAGGATGTTGTTTTTTAGTCAGTAGCATGCTGGGATCAAGGACTACTATGTTTGTTAAAGTATATGACTTTGACTTATATTCAAGGTCACAGGGCCAAATATGTTGAAATCTTTAAACAACCTCTTCTGAATAACCATGGGTCCCAGGATGTTGATACTTTGAAAGTTGCATCCTGAGATGAACGGCTATAAAATGTGTTCAACATAATGACTTTGTTCGACTTTCAATCACAGGGGTGAAATCTTTAAAAAAAAAATAACAGGTTCTTTTGAATTAATTTTAATCATAAATACTGATATTTTATTTTGCTTGTAGCTTTATTTTAGATCACTTTTAAGGTTACAAGTGTGAGATTTATACCAGGTGAGCGATGCAGGCCCATTGGACCTCTTGTATTATTATTTGTCCCTGTGATGTTGATTGAAATTACACAAGAATAGATGTAAATTCATGTGGTACACCTTTTTTTCATTCATGACACATTTTTGCTACTAACAAGGTGCTATTAAAATTTTGTGCCTTATTTAATAAATCATTGATTTACGCTTTTACTTGTTTCTTTAAACCAAGAACAGAAGACATACAGTTACCAAGTTTGTTCAAAACAGACCCCTTGGGTCAAAATTGGAGTCACACCCATTTATTTCAGTTATCGTGTTCACAGGTATAGAATTACCAAGGGGAATAACTATGTAAGTTATGGTCAAATGTGTCCGGTATTCAAACTCATCCAGGATCTCATTGATACAAAGCTGCATACAAAGTTTCATCAAAATCGGTTCATATTTACTGAAGTTATTGTGTTCACAAGGAAAAATTAATGGACGATGCAGCAAGGTTACTCGGACCGTCGAAAAGTATGAATTGGCCCCTGGATGACAGTCCTAATTTGAATCAGATGTCAGGTGACCCTTAAGGCCCATGGGCCTCTTGTAATTCGATTTTTTTTTTTTACAATGAGACTAAATAAAGGAAATTTGTATGTATATCTGTCTCAGTGATATATCTTTAATAGTGAGTTACAGTAAAAGGAATAACATATTTATCTTTTACAATAGGGTGTTGAAAGGATGTATGCAGTACAACCCCTCACCTGGTGCCCCCATCTACAGACGGTACAGCCCCTGCCCCAGGGGATCCTGGACACGAGAGCCCCATGTCAGGACTGTGGCAATGAGGGAGAGAACTGGATATGCCTCGTCTGTTACAAGGTAGTGTCTTACATCAGGTAGTATGTTGTCGCATTCCTGTTACACATGAATGCAAAGTATATTAAAACTGGTTTTTTTTGTGGAATTATATTTATCCAAACATTGTGGTTTCTGAAAAATGTCCTGAATAACTGATTTGCTTACCAAGTGTAAGGTAATATGTCATATAAAAAGAATTCATATTCTCATCCAGAAAACCAAATCTTGATATGTACAATGGTAACAGTCAAACCTCTGTATAAAGATCTAAAATGGCAACAGTCAAACCTCTGTATAAAGATCTAAAATGGCAACAGTCAAACCTCTCTATAAAGATCTAAAATGGCAACAGTTAAACCTCTCTATAAAGATCTAAAATGGCAACAGTGAATCCTCTGTATAAAGATATAAAAGGGCAACAGTCAAACCTCTCTATAAAGACCTAAAATGGCAACTAGCAGTCAACCTCTCTATAAAGTCCTAAAAAGGGCAACAGTCAAACCTCTCTATAAAGATCTAAAATGGCAACAGTCAAACCTCTCTATAAAGACCTAAACAGGGCAAAAGTCAAACCTCTCTATAAAGGCCTAAAATGGCAACTAGCAGTCAACCTCTCTATAAAGTCCTAAAAAGGGCAGCAGTCTAACCTCTCTATAAAGATCTAAAATGGCAACGGTCAAACCTCTCTATAAAGACCTAAACAGGACAAAAGTCAAACCTCTCTATAAAGACCTAAAATGGCAACTAGCAGTCAACCACTTTATAAAGACTTAAAATGGCAACAGTCAAACCTCTCTTGAAAGACCTAAAAAGGGCAATAGTCAAACCTCTCTATAAAGACCTAAAAATGGCAAGTCATACCTCTCTTTATAGACAAAAAATGGCAAAAAAGGACCTGAGCTCTTGATACCATCTCTTGAGTCTAGTATGCTTAAATGAACAGATACATAACAGGAAGAGTTAGTTGACAACCATTACTCATAATACATGTGAAGAAAGAAGGGAAAATCTAAACTGTTGGTTTAATACACAGCAATGTGCCAGTTTTGTATGTTCAACCCCAAACAAACAAAAAATAGACACCAGTTTGTGAAATAAGTGACTTAGACTCTGTCAAGGCTAAATAATCAAATACAAATAAACTTTTACGATAACATTATGTCATTGACAAGATCGGAAATTTAGAGCCAACTGAAGCAATTTGTCATCTGTTCCAGGTTTTCTGTAGCAGATATGTCAACGAACACATGGTCATACATGGCGCTACAGAACAGCACTTGGTGACCTTGAGTTTCTCTGACCTTTCGGTTTGGTGTTACGGATGTGATAACTACATCGACAATCAGGTGAGTGAAACTTTCTTGTCAAGGTCATTTTATCAGAAGGTCAAGGCTTAAGGAATCGGGGTTTAATTTTATAGCCTCAAAGAATAACTTGTAGCAGTGTTTTGGTCTGTGTATTCTGTAGCTCTTTATATCAGGGCCCTGCATTGGAGTTGCGAGTGCCCTATAGTACTAGTAATCATGGTGACACTTTTCGTTTCCGAAGATTAACTTGGTAACCAAAAATAATAATCTCTCTGAAATTAGACATGGTGATACACTGTGAAATGTAGATGTGAAATAGGGGTTTAAAATTTGTTTAGTGTCAAGGTCACTGTTACTAAAATTAGACCTGAGGAGGCAGGTACGTTCCTAATCTCGGAATCCAAAAGTCTATTTTTTTAATTATTTTTTTGACATGATATTACACTGCAGCTGTGATATGTATAGACATACAAGGGGGGTTTAAAAACTTTTACTAGGTTACTGTTACTAAATATAGACGGGGGATGGGAGGGAGGGAGGGGGGTCTCGGTCAGTCACATGACAGGGCCCTTGCTAACTTGTCAGTGTTCAAGTTAAAACTATAAGAAAGGTATCTTCTGTACTTGAAACATAAAACTACTTTATCACGCAATTTCCCAAAGCAATTATTTTTATGAATGCACCTCAAACATCTCATTGTCACTGTCTAGATATATCATGACATCGTATGAATATAAATAAAAAGTTTAAATATTCCATTGTTTGTATTGTAACGTTACAAGTTAAGGCTAATTTGATTGTTCATCTACAATCTAGAAATGAACAATGACATCACTTGAGTCTAAAACATGAAACAAATCTGTACAGGGTGGATGAAAAATAATGAGGTTAATTTTGTGTTGCTTTTGTAGCTCTTGTATAAATGTGATGAAATAAATATCCATGAAATACCAATTTTTTTTATTGTATGGCAGAATTCAACACTTTTTTCACTGGACCCTACTTGTGAAAAATATTGATATTCTGCCATACTTCTGAAATATATACAGCATTTAACAAGAAACCATTAAATATCCTATATAATAACAGTCACAGATTATAAAAAGTAAGCATAGAAAACCAAACTACTGAGACTATGATAAATGGTTCCAGGCTTGGGATAAATTACTGATATTTTTACATTTCATTATATTATATGATATACATAGACATGGTATAAAGAGGCTATGATGTGATGCTTTCTAGTTTCTCAGTCTAACAGAAATAATAAAATAATGTGGAATTAAGAAAAAGACTGTAACAACAACACTTTAATTTATAACTTTACTAGCCACCAGAGAGACGCATTGGGGATTACAGGTAGACTTGTAGCGTTATAGTGATGGCCGTTTATTGACGATGCAAAACCAAGGTGATCGTTCTGTATGTGTTTAACAGGGCTTGTGCGGGTCCGTTAAGGCTAGTTTGACATTCAGATAACAATAATGAAATAACGTGCCCGTATATGTTTGAGTTCTGGTCCATAAACTAAGTGACGGTGTGACATTGTGGTCGGAGAAGGCAGACAGTGACGGGAGCTAAATGGGAGGACTAGGCTAGATAGAATCACTGTCTGTTACAGGATAATGACGAGGAGGAAATTTACCATCCAATGAAATTTCCATGGAAACAAACTTTTTTTCTGAGATTTATTTCATGTTACGACTGACTAATCTTTGTTAAACTAATTACCTAGTCTTGTTGACACTGGCATTCCGACATTATGATTTGGAGCCTGTAAGTCTCTCCACACTGATTAGACATGCTCTGGATATCTGTACCAGCACAGGATGCTGCTTTAATGTCCACAGACACATGTAGTCAACAAATTTGTTATGTTTTCAGGCGTATGCTGAAGTTTTATAATGTTAAAAGACACATGTGAGCTCAGTTGTGTGATGTCTCAAAGACACATGAAAGCTTAGCCAGTATATATATCAAGACACATGATTGCTCAGTTTTATTAGGGTCAAAAGACACATGATTGCTCAGTTTTATTAGGGTCAAAAGACACATGATTGCTAATTTTTATAAGGGTCAAAGACACACGATTGCTCAGGTTTGTAAGGGTCAAAAGATTCATGTTTGCTCAGTTTTATAAAGTTCCTAAGGCACATGAGAGCATGCTTTTATAAAGGTCAAAAGACACATGAGAGCTCAGATGTATAATGTCAAAAGACACATTGTTGTTCAGTTTTATAATGGTCAGAAGATATGATTGCACAGTTTTTTAAAGGTCAAAAGACACATGATTGCTCAGTTTAATAAGAATCAGAAGACACATGATTGCACAGTTTTATAAAGGTCAAAAGACACATGATTGCTCAGATGTATAATGTCAAAAGACACATGATTGCTCAGTTTTATAAAGGTCAAAAGACACATTGTTGTTCAGTTTTATAAAGGTCAAAGACACAAGAGCTCAGCTGCATATCATTTTCTAAAGACACATTCCCATTACATATCAAGACACATGCTAGTAATGTTCATTTTTATAATGATCAAAGACACATGAGAGCTCAGCTGCATAATGTCTTAAAATGTAACTGTCTATAGACATGAAAGATCAGCTGTTTAATATTTAAAAACACATGAAAGATCAGCTATATGTTTAAAGAGACCTTTAAGCCCATATTTGTAATGCCTTAAGTCACCTGAAAAATACAAGGTTGTAATGTTTTGTATTGTTTGAAGACATGTAAAAGCTACAACTTCAATATCTAAAGATGCACAGAAGCTAAACTATATAAATTGTCCTAAGACCCCTGAAAGCTTTGAGTTGTAAAATGTCTAAAGATACACAGAAGCTAAACTATATAAATTGTCCTAAGACCCCTGAAAGCTTTGGGTTGTATAATATCTGAAGAGGCTTTGGAGATAAGCTTTGTAATGTCTTAAGATATGAAAGTTATACAAAATGGTAATATTTTGTACTGTCTGAATACATGTGGAAACTACAACAATAAAGTCTAATGACACTCGATAGCGGTGTTAGTGTATGTCAGAGGTGCAGGTGGCACACAACTATTGTAGTCTTCAGTGGAAGGTTTTGCTTTATCCTGGAAAAGTTGTTTTAAAAAAATGTATTGTTGTAACTAGAATGTATCATGCTATGGTTCAAACCAGATAAGCTCTGCTTGCATTGGTCCGTTTTGGTCTGCACAACAATGATATAGATTCTTTAATGTAAAATCACTGTCGTGGATACAAGATAAACTGATGTATCTATACATGTTCTAGACATGCAGCCCTTTTCTAAGGAATCTTTATGATTTCATTATGGAAAAGTGGTACGCTAGTATGTATATATAGCTACTGACAAATAGGACATCACATGTAGTAAAAATAAGTGCAATGTCTTGGTTTGTTAGGTTATTTATGATCTAAAGACGTAGAGAAAACTGACACATATACTTCAAAAATATCTCAGATTTTGTTTATACTTTATATAATCGGTTTGGTTCAGTTTGGTTTTAGAGTGCTACCTCAATGAAATGCCATATAGTTGCCATCTTGAAAATGTCTTCCTCCTGAAGGTAAAAGTAAAAAAAAAAAAGAAAAAAAGAAAAAAAGTACATGCTTGTCACAACTGTATGAGGTACTTAAGACTTTTTTCTGCTCATAATCAGAAAATTTCCAGTCATTCTATTTAATTTAGAGAAATGCATTCAAGAAAAATACAGAGCATTATATTTTTCCAGTTAATTGAACTGTTTGAATATGCTCAATTTCAGAAAAGTTATATTCAGGCATATGGATAAGCAAACCTGGCATAATAATTAAATATAAAAGATGAACATGTGCATGGGGTCCATTTTCTGTTAATGAAGCTACATTTGTACTTTCTGGACACCGGACATTAGTTTATACCTTTCAGTATTACATTTGTTACAGGATATGGTCCTCTGCCTGCGCATATGGTATCAAGTTGACCTATCATTTCCAATAATAGGGATCAACAAATTAGATTGTCTGGATATCTGGACATGTATTGGTGTAAGATGGGTCTGGTTTGGATCATTTTACATTGATCAGAGATCATATATATCTGGCAATAATTACATCAGACAGAGTAACATTTTCACATGCTTGTGATGTTGCTTGTGAATGCATTTTTTTCCTTAACATAATTTTCCATGTGACAAGCAGTCTGTCCAAAATCTATAATACTTTTGTATAGATATATTATATAAAGATGCTTACCATTTTCAACCTAATAAAACTTTTCACAATTTTTTTATAGGAAAATACTTAACTGAAGAGTTTCTGTAGGAAATATCACCAAATGCAAAATTTTCGAGCCGATAATGCTTTCACTTTATGAAACATTACTTTGGGGCCAAGCTGTATACTTCTTAAGCCAGCTAATGTCAGAAACTTATAAAAGAGATTTCTAAAAGCACTCTCTTTGGGTGTTTGTTAGCTTTCAGAACATTTATTAGATAAACAATGGTAAGGGACACTGTTCCTTGTAAAGTGGAACAATGTATGGACCATTGTTCGCTGTAAAGTGAAACTATGTATGGACCATTGTTCCTTGTAAAGTAGAACAACGTATGGACCATTGCTCCCTGTAAAGTAGAACAACGTATGGACCATTGTTAGCTCACCAGTGGTCCTAAGAACAAAGATGAGCTTATGCTACTGTGGCATCTGTCGTCTGTCTGTCAGTCGTCAGTCAACAATTTCTTCAAATGACTTCTTCTTCATAACCCCTGATTGGAATTTAACTAAATTTGACTGTAAGAATCCCTTGGTGGTGGGGATTCAAAAGTGTACAAATGGAGGGGTTGATCTCCCAGGGGGCTAAAATGAGCGGGCCAAAAAGGGGTCATTTGGCCACATTGCTTTAAGCAACTTCTTCTCTGGAATAAAGTGATGAATATCAACCATATTTGGCTGGATGGAAGCATTCAGATTGTCAGGGGAATCAAAATGGTAGAAATGGAGGGGCTGGCCCTAGTGTCTTAGCATCAAAACATTTGAGATTTCCAACCTCT